AGAGAGAGAGAGAGAGAGAGAGAGAGAGAGAGAGAGAGAGAGAGAGAGAGAGAGAAGAGGGGGGGCTCAGGGGGAGGCAGCCAGGGAGAGGACAGAAAGGACAAGGAAAGTATCCTAGATTTGGAGAAAGAGACAGGATGGGAATGAGGGTACACAAAAAAAACGATTTTTTTTTTAATCTTCTGCTTTAAATGCATGTGAACTATAAAGTGGACAGACCCTGAGAAGCCATATGGGCATGACAGAGGGATTCTGAGTGACAGAGGGGCAGGAGAAGGAAGGGGATGTGGGAGAAGAAAGCCATATCTGCAGGGCAACTGAGTATGGTCACTCAGACAAAGAAAGAACATAGAGACAAGAGGTGCCACACCATCATGTGTCAAGGGAGGTTTCACATAGCAAAAGGGATAGAGAGAAAGCCCATTCTAGGTAGTCAGAGCCAGCTGCATAGAGGGACCTTTACTAGCTCAGTGAGACAGCCAAAGAGAGCTTTGACTTCTGGCCAAGATGCAACCAGACTCAGGCATACTGACCCCCAAAACAGTAATGAACAGGTGGCCAGCGTCAGGACCTTAGACAAACACTGGGTGGACAGGGGAGCTTTGAGCCAGCCTGGAGGGTGCTGGGGAACTCTGGGGCACCAGGAGTCAGCTCAGGGTGCCAGAGTGATGGACCCCAACAGCTCGAGTCTGTGGGGCCCTAGCTCCAGATCAGTCTCAGTGTAGGAGCACTGATGAGGACAGACATGAGAGAAAGGTCAGAGAGAGCTTGACTGAAGCAGAGGACAGGGAGTAGGGAAGCAGGACAGAGGTAGCCCCAGTTGTGAGTGGAAGGGGCCCTGAATCTGAGACACTGAGGGGAAGGGCCAGCCCCCAACTCCCCTCTAACCCAAGAGCAGGCAGCAGCAGCCACTGAGCAACTGCCCAACTAGGTGCCATTCAGACAGATTTGATCCTGAATAGAGCTCTAGCAAGAGGGGAAGGGCTGGTGACAGATCCTGAACTGAGCCATGTGTCAGACAGAAGCCACCTACTGCCACTCAGAAAGACCCCAGGTCCCCTTATCTTGAGAGCACAGACAGGAAAGACAATTTCCTTTAGTGCCCATGTGTCTCTGTGACAAAGTTGAGTGTGTGTAATGGAGGAGATGAGGTTGTTACCCAAGAAGGCAGAGGATATAGAAGCTCCCTGCAAGGCTGCCCTATGCCTAGCCTGGGCAAATTTATCCCTCTCTGCATTTCGCAGTGACATCTTTGGGAATATAGGGCCCAGACACTTACCACCATTACGGAGTGCAGAAATGGGGTCTCCTCACATCAGCTGCCTCAGGGCAGTGGCGATGGGCACAAGATGGCTGTGGGGGGCATTGTCCTGAGTGGGAGGGAGACAGTCAAGGCTCAGCCCCATTCATGCTGGCCCTGGGGGAGGAAGGAGACAGGGGAGGGGGCAAGGGCCTGGCGACCGGGCTCCACCACAGCTGGCAGCTTTGTCAATAGTGGCCTGGCCAAGGCAGCCCTGCCTCCACCCCAACAATGTCCCCTCTGTCCAGAGGCCCAGGCCAGGGACCTGCTATCTGGTGCTCTTACCCCCACCAGGGCTGTTCTAGCCAGGGGGCTCCCTGCCACTCCCGGTCTCCAGGGAGACACCCCCTGAGATGTAGAGACAAAGGGATAGGGTTTCCTTGAGCCAATTATCCCCATGTGGCCCACAACTGTTGTGCCAGTGCAGAGTGCTCCCTCCCTGAGTTTCCCTGCATCCCTATAAAGAGCACAGGATAGCCCCAAGCCCCCACCACAGGGCCAAAGGCTCTGAGCCCCTGAAATGCCAGCCTTGGCCTCAGTAGCCTTGTTTCTGGCTGAAGTGCCAGTCCCAGCTGTCAATGCCTGCCTTTGTCCAGGCTAAGGCAGAGGAGGCGCTGACAAAGACAGCCCATGAAGACGACCTTCTCCCCCGCCTCCTGGCCTGAAAGAAGATTGTCCCCACCCAGCCCTACCCCCAGGACTGGCCAAGTTGTGCCAGTTACAGTGTGGTAGTGGGGAAAGCCAGCGGAGGACGATGCACGGGAGGGGCTGAGGCACAGGGACCGTAGGGAACTTTACCAGAATTGAGCCCTGGGCTTCAGACATGGAATGAATAGGAAGGTCCTCCCAGGGTGGGCCTTCCACCATAGGAGGGAAGGGAGCGGCAGTAGCGGCTGGCTCCCTACTGCACTCTTAAGGCAACTTTGGGGCCAGCTAACCTTAAGGCCCATGGTACAGGGACATGTTTACTCAGCTTAGGGTTTTTGCTACGTCTATAGTTCACATTAGCAGCAAGTTCCAGGGTGAAGAGGCAGGTGGCTGTTGCCATCTGGCTAAGCCGGTTGGTTGGCTGTGGGGGTGAGGTGCCTCCTTACATTACACCCCATTCCAGGCTGGCACCAGCTTTTTCATTTTTGGGTCAGACCCAGAGAGTTCTCACTCTCCTAGCTCCAGTGCCAACCCCTCCTGGGGGACACCATGCCTGCAGGTATCCCACAGGTGTCTCTGTGGAGCCAGATTGGTGTCTGATGACCTTTGCTTGACTCCAGTTAGTCAGCCCAACAGATCCTATCTTCTCCCTGCCCTTAGCAGCCCTGAAGCAGTGTCCTTAGGCCCAGTGGTCCCTGCACACGGTATCCAAACCAGCCCCAGCTTCTACCTACCTGGTGGACCACTAATGGTCTGGGGAGCAGCTGCTTAGCTAGGAGCGGTCCCAGGGGAGCTCCAGTTTCCTGACTCACAACGCAGTTATGCCCAGCCCAACACATCGCAGCGATCCCAGGTTGAGAGCCCAACCCATTCTGGCCCGCCCCTTTGTCTAACAGCAGAAGGCAGGCTTTTGCTCCCTGTGCTGACTTCAGCAAATGTAGTTGAGGACTGGCTATAGGTACCTGACTGGAGCTGCTAACAACAGGCCACTGCCCAAGGTGAGCATTTCCTAGCCTCCCACAAAGTGCCCATTGAACATGTAGAGAAAAAGAAAATATTAATATCCAATGATATTAACACATTTTGTCCTCCTAATGACTCCAGAAAGCTTTGGTCATTTCCTCCAGGCAACTGATGGGGAAACCAAGGCAAGGGAAGTTTCATGGCTAGTAAGTGGCAAGGCTAAGAGTTACCTACAGGGTTCCAACCTATATCCATCTGGCCATGTGGTCTTGAACTGTAAACCTTGGCAGGCATAGAACAGGAGGGAAATGGATGACATGCCCCTGTTCTTTTGAAGAAGCAAGTAGTATTTGTCCCCTGACTGGAGCATAAGATTGGTGAAGGGTGAACTGCAAGGGTGCAAAGGTCAGCAAATCATGGTCACAGCTGCTAGGTTCCAGAACTTGAGCTTGCCTTCCCAGGCTTTCTTGACAGCTTTACATTTGGTCAAGTGCAAACCTATGGCCCTAGGATGGAGAATGTGGGGAAGCCTGGATCAGGGATGCTATAGCCATGGAAAGAAACAAATGCATTGCAGGTGTGTTTGGTGGTATAGACATAGGATCTTGAAAGCCTGGTACCATATAGGTGCAGGTGGCAAAGATGGTAGAATTCAGGAGCTCTACCCTGGGATGTCCTTTCTCTACAAGCTGGTCATCATAGAAAGAGTGCATGGAGATGAGGAAGAAAAATGGAGGAGCCCATATGCTGGAGGGGAGATGGTTAATGAGACCTTCTGGATACGGAATGACAGCTTAGCTTGGGGTGACCTGAGTACTGATGGTGGTTTATATAGAAAGTTCCCAGCCAGGGTTGTTACACAGAGAAACTCTGCCTTGAAAACAACAACAAAACCAACCAAACAAACAAACAAACAAAAAACAAACAAAAAAAAAACAAAGAAGGAAAGAAGGAAGAGAAGAAAGCACATTTCTAGCCTACCAGAGCTATGCAGTGAGAGCCTATCCCGAGTAGTAAGAAAAAAGAAAAGAAGAAAGCACAAATATCTTCAGTTTAATTTTGGGAGTGTTTCCTACCTCTTTTGTCACAGAAGGAAGCACATCTATGGACAAGCAGCCTCATTCTCTGTAATTCTACATGTGAAGTGCGTGCACAGGCTTCTTTCATGCCCTCTGAGCAGTCAGGAGCAGCTGCAGCTGGTAACATTGGTGCCCTATGTTGACTCCAGGAGTGAATATCTTCCACAAAAAGAACTATGCTGCTACAGTCCTGCATATGGCTTGTTCCTCTTAATAGCACCCTTTGTAGGTGTGTCACCCTGCTCTACATGAGTCCTCCACAGAGCAGCTGTATGAAACTCTTATTTATAGGTAGGGAAGCAGCCTCTACTAGTCTGGTGCCATCTCCTGACTGTGTGCCTGGGTCTCTAGATGCTGGCAAGGGACTCACTGGTCAGAAGAGATACGGACTTCCTGCCTCTCCCACTTCCACTGTATATGTGGTGTCTTCAATACCTCCAGTGCACTTGAAATTTGAAAAAATATTTTATTTTATATATATGGGTGTTTTACCTGCATGTATGGCTGTGCTCTACATTTGTGCCTGGTGCCTAGAGAGGCCAGAAGAGGGCATCAGATACCCTGGAAGCACAGTTACAGACAATTGTGAGCAGCCATATGGGTGCTGGGAATAGAAGCTGGGTCCTCTGCAAGGGCAGCCAGGGCTCTTGAGACATCTCTCCAGCCCCAAGCATTTTTTTTTTGAAACAGGGTCTCACTGCATAGCCTTGGTTGGTCTGGAACACAATCTGTAGACCAGGCTGGCCTCTAATTCACAGAAACCCTCCTGCTTATGCTTCTTAAGTGCTGTGATTAAAGGTACATGCTACTATACCTGGCAGGAGTTTGTGTAAGATTTTTTTTCTTTTTTAAACTTTTTTAAAAAGATTCATTTATTATGTATACAGTATTCTGCCTGCATGTGTCCCTGCAGGCCAGAAGAGGGCACCAGATCTCATTACAGTTGGTTGTGAGCCTTCATGTGGTTGCTGGGAATTGAACTAAGGACCTCTGGAAGAGCAGTCACTGCTCTTAAGCACTGAGCCATCTCTCCAGCCCTCTGATGGCTTTTCAAGTCTCTGATGGCTCACAACCATCTGTAATGAGATCTGGTGCCCTCTTCTGGCCTGCAGGGACACATGCAGGCAGAATACTGTATACATAATAAATAAATAAATCTTTAAAAAAAAGGAGCCATCAGAAAATTGTCTCCCAGGTCCCTTAGGGTAGCTCATATAAGCAATACGGTGAATTCACTCCAAAAGAGTGTGCTGTTTGTACACCAGGCCCCCATGGGGGAAAGGGATCTGGTCAGCTTAATTGTGTGTTTGTGTGTGCGTGTGTGTGTGTGTGTGTGTGTGTGTGTGTGTGTGTGTGTGTGTGTGCTAGTTTTTTGAGACAGGGTTTCTCTGTGTAACAGTCCTGGCTGTCCTGGAACTCGCTCTGTAGACCAGACTGGCCTCAAACTCAGAGAACTTCCTGCTTCTGCCTCCTGAGTGCTGGGATTAAAGGCTTGTACTGCCACTGCCTGGCTTCTATGTATATTTTTGTGTGTGATCCCAGGCCCTCATGGAGGCTAGGCAAATGCTCTCTTGCTGAGCTATATCTGCAGCCCCTGTATTGTGGGAGCCCGTTCTCGGGTTCCTCGTGGCTTTACCCAGCATGTCCACATAGAGGATAATTAGGACCACGGGCTTGAGTGCAGGTGTCTGAGATGGTCTGCACTTGGCTGTGCTGGGGGAGGAGGTCTTTTGCTCCACCCCTTGGCATCTCTATAAAAACCCTGGGGCAGAGACAGTCGGGGCCCATTGGAAAAGGTTCCAGGCCCTCTTGAGGCTATCCTTTATTTTCTATCTGTTTATCTCTGCAAGATTCTCCACAATAAATCTTTTTATCTAATATTTCCTGCTGCTCACACTCAAGAAAACTCTGGGGAACTGTGGGGTTGGTGGGTAAACGCCCCACAGAATGGCGCCATGAACAGGAGCTAAAGAAAAAGGGGGGACTAAGACAAATGAACATGGACTAAAGACGAAGTAATAGGGACTAAAGATAAAGGAAAATAATAGTTTTATTACAGAATTTTTGGTGAAAGTGCTGAGTCAGCCCTGCCAGTGGAAAGGCATGCCAGTGTTATGGAATGTATTTATATATATAAAATTGAGGGGCAGGGGTTTTATCTTCGAGAGAAAAGGAGGAAAGCAGACTGGAAGGATGTCCAATGCTGCAGCGCAAAATTCTCTTCTGTCAAAATTTTCTATCTTCTATCCTTTTCTGAATCTCTGTGAAAAATAAGTATAATGTATAGGGTAGTAATATAGTGTAGAAAAACTTAGAAATGTAAGATCGTGTAGAAAAAAAGGCAACTAGACAGAAAAACTCTTCAATTTTCTAACTTTGGGGGCTATGAATGCAAACTGGGGGAAAAATCTTTCTTTGGACTTTACAGGTAATAAAAAAAGCTCTTCTTTCAGTTTATGGGGAAGAAAAAGTTTCCTATGGAAGCTTTTGTCCTGGGGACAGCTGAAATGCTAAGTCCAAGCATCAGGAGAAAGTGTTTTCTCCCTGAGGCAAAAATGGGGGTGTAAAAAGCAGAAAGTTTAAAGTTCAGAAGTTTTGGGAAAAGTTGGTCTTTCTCTTTTTTTTTCTTTTCTTTTCTTTTTTTTTTTTTCTCGAGACAGGGTTTCTTTGTGTAGCTTTGTGCCTTTCCTGGAACTCGCTTTGGAGACCAGGCTGGCCTCGAACTCACAGAGATCCGCCTGCCTCTGCCTCCCGAGTGCTGGGATTAAAGGCCTGCGCCACCACTGCCCGGCAGTCTTTCTCTTTTGGGAGGAAAAAATCTTTCTCTTAAACGAAAAGCTTTTCTTGGAAAATTTTTGGGGAAAAAAA